GACGCTCCTGTGCGGACCCCCGCTCCCCGCCGCGCCCGCTGGGCCCCAGTACCTCGTCGTCGTCATCCTCTTCCAGCTCCTCCTCCGTCTTCTCCGCATCGCCTTTCGGGAGCAATTCGTCCGGGGGCAGGGGAGCACCGGGACCCGGGGCAGCGACGATGGCAGCCATGTCTACACGGGGGGAGGGAGGAAGGGAGGGACACCGGAACCGGAAGAGAGGAGGCGAATGTCGCGCCGAGCATAGAGCTGCCCTTCCGGGAGCTGGACTCAGGGGGGCGGGGCCACAGCGACGCCCTCTGGCCGGCAGTCGTCATCCGCCTTCAGCCCAGTCGGACGCGGCTGAGATTCCAGGGAAATAAAACCCGGCGATTTGCTCAAGTCTGGTTCCTTCCGCAGGAATTCTGTTCAGAGGGTTCCGCGTGGGCTCAGAAACCTGCATTTTAACAAGCTGCCCAGGGATCGCCCTTAGAGAAACACTCATCTAGTTTCATTTACCTGAGTGGTGTGCTGTTTGGTAGGAATAAGTTAGAGATTTGAAGGTTAATTGGTCTTTTGGGAAAACATCAAATAAACAGACCCAGTATATTAAAACAAAGGCAAGAGTTATTTCTTCCGGAGCGGGCACTGTATGTATGCTGAGGTACTATTATCCTTATCTTAGAAAAGAAGAAATTGAGGCACAGTACAGGGTTACTGTATTTTTGGAGGATAGACTTCTGGAAGTGGATTTGCTACCGAAAAGTATGACCATTTAAAATTTTGCTAGGTATTAGCTCATTGCCCTTGAAAGTATATAGTTTCACAATAGTGAATGAAGTGTCCTTTTCCCCACACCCTCCCCAGAATTAGGTGTTCGCCATATTTTAATATGTTGCCTATATGATAGATGAAAATGCTTCTTTTTATAATGTGCCCCACAAGTTATTATATACAAGGATAATCTGATATACATCTTTAGCCAATGGACCGTGGAATGGGAGAATCTCAGGACTGCACCATCCAAATCCTTATCTGCACTTACCCATTCGGGGGTAGGAGGGCTTGCTCTTCCTCCAGATAACGGCCCTCAGTTTCATTCATCTATGGGCTGGGCAGCTCTGATTACAAAAAGTTTTCATGTCACAAAGGGTGCCTACTGGATGATTCTGTTATATAAAGTTCAAAAACAGGCAAAATCTATCAATGGTGAGAAGGAGAGTGATCCCTTTGAGGAGAAGGGGTTAATACTTGGGAAGGGGCAGGAGAGTAACTTTTGGGGTGCCGCTGGTAAAGTTCTTGCCCTGGGTGGTGTTACATAGGTGTGTTCATTTTGGATAATTCATCAGGCTGTACACGTATGAATTATGTTTTTGCATGTTAACCTTTTTATTTTTTTAAGTCGGCTAGATCTACATCAAGCATGTCAAACTCACGGTCGGTGGGGTCACGTGCCTTGTTTAGCATGTGGCCCCCCAGGCCGGGAGTTTGACATGCTTGGTCTACATCAGTGCAAGGGCAGCTTAGAAACCCAGTGCCAATGGCTTTTGATTCTGTTATGGGCTCTTTATGAAATGTTGGAAGCCCAACATAGCAAAGGCAATCTTATGTGGAAGGTACAGATGTAAGGACTTCAAGTAGAAAGTCACAATGCTAATGTGAAGGAGTTTTAGGAAAACTTTAACCCATTACATTTGTTCATAGTATTCACAAGAGCAACGCATGATTTTTTAAAAATCCTATGTTTGAGGCTAAAGAGCTCTTTCAACAATCAACAAATTGCCATGGGATAAGGAGAAAAGAGAAACCAGGCAGTGCAGAGTATTCAAAACCTCGGGAGTAGATGAGACGATCTAGAAAAGGCAGAATGGCAAGAGAATA